CTGTAGCCTCTACAGACCACACTGTCACCTGAGTGTGCAGTTACTGTGGTTTTTCAGAGTCAGAGATTAAAAGAAATGGCTGGCGATGTACAAAACAAAGAGCAGTCTCTTCTAAAACAAGAGACCCTTTATACAATAAGCAGGCTCAGCATGTCACTTCAGAATGATGCAGTGGCAAAAGAATATGAGCCTCAACTTAGATTAAAAAATTGTAACCTGGCGTAATATATATCTATATATTTATGTATCTATATCTCCTTCAAGCCCACGGACAGACTTGTGAGTTATTATTATTTGTTATTTTAAATATATCAGAAACCTCATTCTGATCCGAGTTCTACTATGCTACTGCTGTGCAAACAAGGCAGAGTCAGTTACTGTGTAGCTCCTTTGGGATGCTGTTGTAAGCAAAGTTGTTGCTTTTGTATTAGATGGTATTAGATTTCTTCAGGGATCCCTCTAATCTTTTGGATACATTTCTATTTTTAACAGTATCCCTGACAGGCTCAATGATCTTTATTATTCTTGTCTCAATCATCAGTTCTAAGAAATGCTATTAGCAATGTTTTGCTTATCAGCTAAACCAGTGACTGTTTCCATGCTCCTCAAATGCAAACAAAAATCTTAACTTAGGCCTCTTCCTTCAGAAGGTGTGACAAGTCAGTGCCACTGGTTCACATTACTGTACTACTGTAATTGGATTGTTTTCAGTATATGCCCATTTCCTCAAAGGAATAGGCGGGGTCTTTCTCTGTACTCTTCCTTGAGCTGATGTCTCAACAGCCTTGGCCAGGTAAGACAAGGAATGTGGACTGCTTTACCTTTTCTAATGGACAGTTGGGAAAGAGGTTCCAAATTTAGTATTTATTTTCTTGTATTCCCCCTCCTCAATGTAGGAGCAACATATTTTGATCCAACCTAAACTCCAAATCAAATAATTTAACCCAAACCAGTAACAGCCTCCTCTAAACTAACTGTGTCATCCTATGCAAGACTTAACTGCATTAACTTATGTTCCTTGGTTTAATTTGACATGAATGTTTTTTGTATATAGAATTTCTTCTACACACCCATTTCATAGTGGGTTTCTGTATGTCTAATTGCTGCCCACATGCCAGACACTCTTCTGCCAGTAGCCTAATATCCCTGTTCTCAAAAGATCTGTCATGGAATTATTCAAAACATAAAATTTGGCTTTTCATATATGGTCTTCTACTCATCCTGGTGAATATATAGCAAATAGGGTTGAAAACCACAGACTTGCCAACGAGTGCTTACATTTCCATTTAATATGAGACTACTTCCCCATTATGTAGTAAGAATATGAGGCACAGAAAAAAATTAATGGATGTAATGATCTGGGAAAAAGAAACCTTACTGTTTTAGAGAGTCATCTCCTACATGTGGTGGAAATATCACATATACCTTATAAAGTTGTATGCAGTACTGTAATACAGAGGACATAATTTTCCAGTTTCCTGAAAGAGAGAAATGAGAGCAATTTACAGACAATTAGCTTGTATTTTCTCCAGAATAAATCACATGAATTACACATGCAAACTGAAGTAAGAAGGGATTATATAGCAGTGCCATTAAAACAGTTTAAAAAGCCACTGATTCTGCAGATGAATCTGAGTAGTCATACATGTGAGCAAGAACAAAAACAGTTTCTCCAAAGTGTCTGATCAAAATTCACTGATAAAATCAGACAGAACAATGATATTAGCTTCTGAAAAGTCTTACAGTACAGTAACACTATTGAAAATATCCCTGTTTTATCCATTTCAACAAAAAATTATAATCTGAATTACAAAGTATACTGCATATCTGCATAAGCACCGAGATACTATAAAGTAAAAGCTTATTCATCAAGTCCCTCTGATAAATGGTCCCCGATAAAAAAGCTAATTTTTCATGTATGTTTAAGTACTTTTGGCAAGAGATACAAGTTCCATAAAAGAAAAACCACTGCAAAGTTTGAAAAAAATTCCAAAACTTGTAAAAAAGATCAAAGGTAGAGCATTTCTAATACTCTGAGAAATAATGAAATTCACTCCAGTTCCTGAGATAAACTGTAGATCAGTTGTGAAGATTTACCAGATTGTACCACACTCTCTTTCTCACCTTCTCTTACACACTGCACACAAGGTCAGAACTGAAGATTCTGCTAATCTTACCAGTCAGCAAAGCATGTGAAAGCTTAGAACATTCAAATTTTCTTTTCCACTATAAAAACAAGAGACTGGCAACTTAGGTCAGAGACAGACAGACTTCTGCCACAGTCTGCCAAAATAATTTCCAGAGGTGGTTGCTTTAAATTAGCTGCACTTGCATAATTTAAATCAATATAACTCTGTGGTTTTGTCCTATTTTCACTGACAACTGTGCTCTTATTCATTGCTGTGCTGTTTAAAAGAGACCATAGATGAGTTCAAATTCCTAGGATCAGACTTTTAAAAAGAGCATCTGTCACCCTAACGGCTCAGCAGGTCTCTGTATGCTGGAACCATCATCAGTGTGGTTCATTGCTACTAGCCATATGGTCAGTTTCTAACTTAGCATTAATGTTGTGCTCCATCTTCTGTAAAACTGCTGGAAGATCCATTACAGAAGAAATAATATAATGAGGTACGGGGGAGGTATCTACTGGGGCAGTCATTGCTTTGTTTATCCAGACCGTTGCTTTCAAGCCAGCATTCAGGCCTCCTTGAATATCTGTATCTAGAGAGTCACCGACCATTACACACTCTGCGGGCTGCACCCCAAGGAGATCGCAGCAGTAATGAAATATGGATGGCGCCGGTTTCTCCTCTTTCTGCTCTCCCCCCACAACGATGGCATCGAAGTAGGGCTGGCAGGCGCAGGCCTCGATCTTCTCCCTCTGCGTCTGCCGGTCGCCGTTGGTGAGGAGCAGCAGGCGGAGGCTTTTCCGCAGCTCGGTGAGCATGGCCCGCGTGTCCTCAGCCAGCGTCAGGTGCTGCAGCCGCGTCGTCTTCCACAGGTAATAGCACTCGGCCGCCAGGTCGCGGTTCGCCTCCCCCCCGATGGTCTCCTGGATCGCCTCCTCCCAGTGCGAAATCCGCAGGTCTGTGATGCACATCTTGGCGGGATCGTGGCACTCCTTGAGGAGCTTGGCCTGGACCTTATCGCAGACGGCGCGGGCCTCTCCCTCCCCGTAGCGGTGCTTGGACTGCAGGGCGCCGATCACCTGCAAGGGACGCGGGGGCGCGCGCCAGGGCGCGGCGGGGCCGCGCGTCAGCAGGGAAGGGAACGGGACCCGCGCGGCACCGCCGCCGCCGCGCCGGGAGCCGGGCTGGCCGCGGGGCCCGTGTCGGAAGGGGGACAAGGGCAGTACCTCCTCGATGGCGCGCCGCCCCGCCGCCGCCGTGTCGATCAGCGTGTTGTCCAGGTCGAAGAACACCGCCTTGACGCCGTGCAGCCCCATGGCGCCGCCTCCCGCGAGAGCCGCCCCGCTCGGACAGCGGAGGCGAGCGACAGAGCGCCAGCAGAACCACCCGTGCCGGGCTCAGCGCGGCGGGGCTGCCCGGGACCACCCCAGGCCCGCCCCTCACGTCAGGCCCGCGGGGCGGGGCCTGGCGGGGACGGCGCTGCCCGGGGTGCGCTGGGCGGCGGGCGGAGCTCGGCGCTCCTGGGTACCCCTCTCGCCCCCCAGAAAAGGAGGGTTGAAGGCGCGCAGGGCTCTGGAATGGGCTATGAGGAGACCCTGCCCGAATCCCGGTAGCTCGTGGGGGCTGGCGGTGGCGCCGGCCAGGGAAGAAAGGCTGCAGGAGCTCCCGTGTCCCGGCTACCAGTGGGAGTGGGGGCGCGCCCCTTGCCGTGCGGCCTTGGAGGGGCGGCAGCTGAGCCCGGGAGCAGGAGCGATTCTACGGGGCCCCGGGTGTGGCGTGGGTGGGTCCGCGCCGCGGTACTTGGGATGTGTTTCGGTGTTTGGTGTTTTGCTTTGGTTTTTTTTTTTTGTTGTTTGTTTTGTTTTGTTTTGTTTTTTGGGGGGGGGTTGGGGTTTTTTGTTGGTTTTTTTTTTTCCTTTCTCTGTGTAGCAATGCTTTCTGGATGAGACAACGGGGCAGCTGGCACCTGGTTGGAAAACAATGTGTTGAGATGCTGCCAGGGGAACAGCTTTGTCCTGAAAGAATTCCCCCCGCAGCGCTTCCATCCGGGCAGGCTTGCCCGCTCCCGGCTGTTGGCGGCAGCTTGGCTGGCTGTGCCAGCCCCGGGCCAGCGGCTTCTGCCGCTGGGGAAGCCTGTCCCAGCCTTAGGAACGGCATCAAACAGGTCCCTGCACGTGGTCGTGGCGTGACGCCCAAAGATGCCGAAGTTTGTAGGTTTTCACTCCGAAGCATTCCGTAAACAGCGACCTGCACGAAGAAGGAGGAGGAGGAAGACGCGTACGCAAAAGATTCAGTTCAGTTCGGCTTTCCCGGCTTCCCTGTTACCTTCTGGAGCGTGTCCTTCTGCAGTTGCCTCTGGGCACAGCAGCTACAGCACGGGGATTGAATCATCCATCAGCAACTGTTCCTAATAAAGCCAAAATCTGTAACTCCACTATTTTGAGAACTCTATATAAGAATGGATTATTTGAAACTCCAAAAGTCAATATTTTATAGAGCAAGTGAATTAGAAAGGCATTCAAATGAAAGCCTGAACACCTTCTAGAACAAGATTTTTAGGTGTAATGAAGGCTGTTTCAGAATTGGTGTTTTTCCCCAAGGTGAAGTTTAACAGGTTCTTGTTCATTGATAATGTTTTGAGAAACACAAGGGATTTTTTTAACAGCCATCTAGCAAATTTTCTTAATTTAATTTAATATTGCTAATGTCGATTATACATTAATCATTAACTGCAATTCACAAAGCTAGAGGAAACTTTGTCTCTTACCAAAAAACTGGAAGTTCACTCCAGGTCACTTTCAGTTCTACAAACCGCAGCTTTGATAGGAATCTCATTTTCTGATAGAAGACATTGAATCACATGCAAGGCCAAAGTAATTGTTCCCAAAAGCTTGGCATATGGCAAATAAAACTCCAGAAGACGAGCCTTTAAGGAGCAAGAAACAGCGATGGCTAGGGATCCTGTAGTTAAGGCAATAAGAGGAGTTTTAATGAAGTTCTAATAAAATGTGCTAGTTTTGCTTGATAAGACAGAAGAGGTGTTAGGCATGTGGATTTCATGTGCCTCTACTGAATTACTATTTTTCAGATTTTACACAGAAGAGTGATTAAAAATAGCTGAATTTCTATAATTCATTCTACTTAGGAAGATGGCATTTGTTTCAGAGAGCCCTGCATTGCAGACAGTGAGCAGTGGATCCTATGTGTACTTTTGGAAAAAGGTACATTTACATAAAATTAATGTTTTTTCTTTCAAGGACCATTTTTCTATCAGCAAGTGCATTACTTTCTCCTGTCTGTTCTCCTGTTTCTAGTTCTGCAGGCTCACTAGGGGCTGGAAACCCCTTGCAGAAGCTGAGAATCAGGAAAAGAACAGTCACTGGAAACCTGAGTAGGAGACAAACTGAAACGTAGGATAGAGTGCACATTCTAGAAGTGATAATGTAAGAATGCCAGTTTGGTATCTTTAAACAAGGAGTTGTTCTGGGTATCTTTTAAAAAATGAAAAACATCATAAACACTTCCTGATGTCACCATACACCCCTCCCGCCAGGCCATGCAGGCTCAGTCCCAGCCAAGGGGCTCTACATCCAAAGAAAACTTGTTAAACTTGTTGTCCATATGTAAATAATAATTTGTGAATAATTTGACTCATATCATATTTTGTTTGAGGTCTTTTTTTGTTTATTTTTTGTTTTTTTCTTCAAGATGATTGTGTTTAGGAGTTCAACATTTGGAACTCTCTGATGTTTTTTTCCTGCATCTCCACTTGTATCTCAATGGGTTCCTTTTTGGTTGTGTTAACACTATGAGAGAGCAGGTGAGCTTCCTGGGTGCCCAAGCTGTTTCCTTGTACTGAGGAAGACCTAAGGTTTACTGCTGTTTTTCTTTTCTACAGCTGGAGAGAGACCTTGCAGGGGATGGGAATCAAATCTGGGCAATCAGGAGTAGGTGACCTGTGTGCACAGGAAGTCATCTGCTCCATCTTTTACATGTAGCCCCTGAAAACTAATCTTGGAGATTTCTTTCCCACTTCCACAGAATATATTATTACTTTGGTGGCTGACTTTTTTTCCCCTTTATCCCAGTAAGAGATTAATTAAAGAAGTGCATTCATGTTTAGTGATACCTATATTTCAAGTTCAATTGTGTTGAGGAATATTTCTCACAAAGGTGTCTTGACCTGCAGATTGGGCTCCTGGTTGGACCACGAGACTATGAATTCCCATCCTTTGGGATAACAAAGGACATGAAGACAGGTGACTGCAGGCAGGTGAATGGCCAACTGAGAGTAACAGCAGGGGCTGGTGACTGCCGATCCTTTGGATAAGGTGACGCCAGTGCGATGTATGAACAAAGAGCAGGGAAGCAGGAGAAGACGAGAAGGAAGAACGGGTCTGACGCCCTGGGACAGACTCTGAAGGTATAAAACCCTGGGGGTTCTTGGGCTTGAGGCGTTTGGATGTATTTGGGTGCGCACTGCTCCCCGCTGGCCATGCTGCTGAGCCATAGCGCGTGGTTACTGTGACAGGAAAAGGCGCCAGCAGTCAGGGGCAAGGCCGGGGGGGTCAGGTCTTTGCAATGCCGCTCGCTTGCCTCGGAGCCCTGGCTTCCCGTAGGCCCAGGAGCGCTGGGCAGAGCGCAGGCGGCGTAGCCGCCGCCCCTTGTGTCAGGCTCGGGCCACAGCCGCCCCACTGCCTGCGCGCCTTCCGCGCCCTCGCCCTGCCTTTCGCTTTCGTTTTCCCTCTAACGCGTGCCGGCGCTGCGGGAAACGAAACGGGGCGGGCTCTGTGCACCGCGCCGCGCCGGCGGCTGCAGCGTCCGCGGGATCCGGAGCGTCGGCAGCGGCTCGGAGGTACCGGCGGGGCGGGGGCGCGCGAGGAAGGGCAGGGGTCCGTGCGAGATGGGGTCCCGCAGCGCGGCTGCGGGACCCTGGGGTCATCTTTGGTCCGTGCGGCTGCGTCACCGCCGCTCGAAGGGGATATGTTAAGTACTGTCGGGTTCCCTTCTGTAGGAAGTGATTCTAATTCTGGAGAAACGTTACTGGTTATTTTCCTCCCACAGAAGTCAGTGAATGATTCAATCTTTTTCTGTCAAGAAATCTTCTAAGAAATCTTCTCTAATAACCGAATTCTCCACTCTGGTTTCTAAAACCCTTATTGCAAGCAATGACTTCCAAAACATTTGCTGACTAATCATTTGAAATAGAAATTCGAATTAGTTTCCCATTAACTTTGTTACTGGCACCAATCTTCTATTTTGTATTAAAGCAGTGTCATAAATGGATGTGATTTTGCTAACAAAATTGTAATTATATCAATAATTTGGGAAAATAACTGGAAAAGTATATGTGATTAGTGTTATGAAGCAGATGAGTTTCATCAAGAATACATGTGGGAAACAGGATGCAGGAATTGGATTTGGCCTTGGGAATGGAGGAGGTCAAAGTCCCAAACCAAAACTGGCATCAACTGACGTTAAAATACAACTCCTAGAGCAGGATCGCCCTTGAATATGAATAAAGTTGGGACCATTCCAGACAGGGAGTCTAAAATAGTGGCCTTTGCTATGAAATAAATAAGGTTTAATTGGAACATAGTATGTACTTACATAACACCAAGCTCAATGCTCATGCGCCACCTGCCGGGTTATCCAGAGGACATGTGAGGAAGACCTTCGGCCTTCGTCCAGGAAGACGCCCGAAGACACCTTAAGACCCCATAGCAACAATGGGAGCATGCACTGTGCAGTAGAGTGACATAGGTTTCAAGAATCGAAAATAGGAGGCGATTTATGGGAACTATTGATGAATATGTATTAGCATATAGTATATAAGTTGTGTTTGGATCCTTTTGCCTTTGTATGGGAGGCAGGGTGGGAAGCCCTCCCTGTACCTTGATCAGTTGGTTTTTTACATGTGCTTTATCTGAACCACTGCCAAATTTCTTTTCTGTAACAATTGAATTATATCTTATTGTATTATTTCATCTCAATTAAAATTGCTGACCTCAGTTAAAATTGCTGCTAAATTTTAAGTTTCTGGTTTATGGAATTGGTATGTATGGGACCTCATTCATATAACAGCAGTGACCTATCTACCAGGATTAGGGACTGCCTTTATTCTATATCTAGAGTAACAGATACATCTTTGAATGTTATTTTGCAGTGTCTGTTGAAGATTGTGTCAAAATGGATCGTGAGTATATGACGAAGATCAACCATTACTGTCAAACGCGTAAACTTGCAGTGGATTATGACACCGTTGATATGACAGGCCCATCTCATTATCCACAGTAAGTTTACTCTGCATGTCAAGAGCTAGCAGGGCTCTTCCTGCAATGGACAAACTGAGTAAAGCTTGCAGTCACAAATGTTAATTTCCTGAAAGCATGTATGTAGTGGGAAAGCTGATTGAAACCATGAATTGAATGGTAGGTGCATGGGGAAGACATCATGTGATACAGTTTAAGGAGAAAACTTATTTCAAGGGTGATGGCTCCTTTTCAGAGAGTACCAGCAATGCACCTGTTACTTACTAGTAACTCTGTTGTATCTTATGCATCTCCTCTCAGAAGGTGGATTGGGTTATAGCAAGAATTTCAGTTTATTATTTAAATGCTACAAAGTGTTTAGTAAACATTGTTAATTTCTAATCAGAAAGGTTGGGTGTATTAACTGATTGTGTACTAACATTTAATGTCTAGTATATTTTTAACATCTCTTACAAGAAAAGGGTCTTTTGATTAAGTAGTTTTGCTTTCCCTTTTAGAGGCAGTTACAGGTGATGGAATATATTTTTTAACATTGATATAGTGTATTTTTTCTCAAGATCTGTAATATTTCTTTGTGTGATTTTTAAAAAAATTTTTGCTAGTTTCCATGAAGACAAGCCTTATGCTAATAATTAATACATTTCTTTAGATGTGTTGCACGTTGTCAGATAGCACTGTCTATGCAGATTTATTCTAAAATACATCTACCATCCCAGAATAAATTAATAGGTATTATCTGGATCTCAAATATTAATCAGTTATCTTTTTTTTTACCCATGTGGCTCGTGTAATTCATAAAGGTAACCCTTATTGCAGTAAAGACCACAGCTGTGATCACACAAAAGTGATGGCATGGGACTGACAAATACATTCCAAGTTGTTTTTTCCATTTATTATGGTTTTTCATTGTTTTTCTGTGTATTCTGTACATTCACAAATGAAATTCAGCCCATTGTGTGACAGTGGTATCTAGGAAAATCCTGGGTAACTTGGGCTATTCCAAGGATATAGTGTAAAGTGTCTGGCTGAAGTGATGTGTCCTGTAAACCTTCAGTCCCCTTACGCTGCTCGTTCCCGGTGTTTGGCCTGTGGTCATTGCTGGTTGTGAGCTAGTTCCCTAACTCTTATGTGCTGTGTCCCATCTCATAAATCAACTTGTAGTTGTTTGAAGCATGATGCAGAGATACCTCCCATCCTATCATGGTTCTGGTGCTGTAGCTGCTTCCAGTACTGGGTCAGACAGGGCCAGTGGTGAACACAATGTAAGGAGGTTAAAGGAGACCAGAGTGGCTCAGTCCTGAGCTTTCTTGGTCTGGGAACACAGAGAGTGGACAATTAGGTCAGTCCTGACTAAACCAGTCAAGTCTGGGAATTGCTTATTATCTTGGGGTTCATGGTGAATGGCTCTACACTTATGACCAGCTCAAGTATTGCTTCTGCAGGTAGTCCTCAGCTTGGTTATGGAGACTCACTGCAGATTTCCTTGGGGTGCCTAAATAAAATGGTGTATTTTGGATGCAGTGTCATAGCTGAATGTGTTTGTAGTATTCAGCACTTAGGTATGGGTTGACTGACAAACTCCTTCCCAAAGAGCAACCTTTCTTACATGTTCTGTTTTTTCTTTGTTGTTTCCTATGTGTAGGAGTATATGGCACACTATGAGTGTGCCTTTTCCTACTGTTCTCCCCTTTAAGATTTCTTAAGTCTTGCTTACACAATGATAGCAAGCACTGTTCTGCATCTTCATTTGTTTCCCATCCAAACATTTCATTAAAGGGAAGTGTAGAATGAGGTTGGAATAATGAAAAAAGTGATTTCCTAAAGTCACTATATTATTTGAGACCAGTTTTCCCACAGAGGAGCTTATGGTGCTGTTCCTTGACCGTGTGAATCCATCTTGTTGTCAGTGAGCATTTACATGCTCTGCTGCAATCTGAAGCACAGAGGTGCTCTGAGGCTCTAGTTGTCACTTTAACTTGTTGCAAGTGTGTACTGCTGCCAAAGGCAGAAATCCAGTTGTTGTTTTTTCCTGTGTTGCCTTTTGTGCAAAGGCAGTATCAGAAACATTAGGGGATTTGCAGCTGCAGGACAAATCAGATCTGTAGGGATGGTTTTGTCTGAAATGCAACCATTCGTAATTAGGGCACAGCAGTGGGTTGACCCCAGGAGGCAGTGAAACCCCTAGCTAACTACTCACTTCCCCTCAGTGGGACAGGGTGGGAATCAGAAAGGTGAAAGGGAGAAAAAACTTGTGGATCAAGATAAAGACAGTTTAATAGACAGAGAATAGCTGGATGTGTGACTAAAGTAAAATAAAGAAGTTGCTTACTCCTTCCCATCAGCTGGCAGATGTTTCTAAGAACGTGGGGCTTCATAATGTCCAGTGTATACTTGGGAATGTACTCTATAGCCATGGACATGCCCCCTTCCTTCGTAATCTCCCAGCTTTTATTGCTGAGTGTGATGCCATGTGGCATGGAATATCCCTCTGGCTACCTGCTATGGTTGTGTCTCTTCCCAGCTTCTCACATATCCCTCCTCTTCTTGCTGGAGGGCCGGAGTGGGAAAAGAAAAAAACTTGGATACTGTGCAAGCACTGCTGGCACTAGGTAAAATATTAACTCAGTCCCAAAGCCACAACACAGCACCATTCTAGCTGCCCTGAAGGAAGTTAACCCCATCCCAGCCACATACAGTTCTGTCAGTCCTGAGTTGCATCAGATTCCCATTCTGACTCATGGAGTTGCCATGTAGGAAGCAGGACATGCACAGTTGTGGAATAGGAGGACAGAGAGGGAAGGGATCAGCAGTTGAGCACAGAAAGGCAGGACTGGGGCTTGTGTGTGTTTGTTGGTAACTTTTTTTGTTTTGGTGGGGCTTTTTTTATGATTGCCTTTAAATTTATGTCTCGCAAGCACCAGACGTGGTTTTTTCTCTTATTAAGCAGTCTATTAAAGGTGAGTATCACAGGGTATTAAAGGTGAGTGTAATGTCACATCTGGTTTCATGAAACCAAAATTAGCTAATCTCCTCTGTGTAGTTTTGCACTGCTGAGATGTATCCTGATGTTAGCGCTTTGCAGTCTTGCTTGTAATTATGCTGACCTCATTCATTCTTATGCTTTTTAAAAGTAAATGATTTTGATTTTAAAAAGCAGGTAAGCAGTTAAAAGTACTGTTGGAACTAATAAAGTACATGCATTTCTGACTAGAGAGGAAAATTTAAAAAATATTTATACTAAAGAATTACGATAATCATAGGTTTGGTGTAGTAAAAACACATTAATCCTTCAATACTTCCCGTAGTGTATCCTATAGTGCTTTGTAGATAACAAACCCAAAGTTTAATCTGATAAGGTTAAAGTATACGTGTGGGGAAAATGTAGCAATGTTTTAGACAAGTTTCTTTCATTGCAGGTTCACAGTAGTTGTCAAAATAAATGGTCAGAAATATGGTACAGGCACTGGTAAAAATAAAAAAGAAGCAAAAGCAGTAGCAGCAAAAGAAACATGGGAGATGATTGAGGAACAGGTGAGTAAATAGTAGGATTAAGTTTTGGGGGTTACTATGCAGTGTACATCGTATGTAATGTAGTAAATGTTGAACATGAATATCTGAAAGTAGACTTTTGATAAAATGTTTAATTTGTAACAGTTTCTAATTATTCAAGGTGTCTTTTGTTTCTGTCTTATTCATCACTTTTCTACTTTTTATCGCTGAATTGTTTTCCTTATTTTTTCCTATAGGGTTGATACCTTATACTGTATTTCCTCCTCTGCTCTTATAGGAGGATAAGGAAATGTATTTGCCTTTGTTAAGCTACCTTGGTGTATCCAAAGTGAACAGTTGTTGCAGTGCGTGCTGTGTAGGACGTGCTGGATGGCTGTGGCAGGGGCGCGACCATCCCCCTGCGAGCTCTGCAATTCCCAGTTATCGGCAGGCTGGCGCAGGGACAGATAACGACGACACGGGGCTTGGGGTGTTCCAAAGTGGGTTTATTAGGTGGAGAAAATAGAGCCCCAAGACCAGCTTGGGGGGGCAAACAGAAGGTTCTATACAGAGACTCAGGAGGAGGGGTGTAGGAACAATAACCAATGAGGATAAAACTGGGGAGGGGTCTAAGGTGGGACTAACATACCATAAACTGATCAGGGGAAATAGGGGAGTGGAATCACACAAAGTAACAAATAGGGTGTCGAGTGTAACTAAATGGACAGGGAACACTCTGGAAGATAGGGAAGGGACTAGAAGGAGTGACAGGGAATGTCCTAGGGAAAGGGAGCATTGACAACTTGGAGGGGAGGAGGTTAGGGAAAAGCTTGGGAAGATTGACAGCTGGGGAGGGGAGGAGAACAGGGGGCAAACCTGAGCTCTAAAACAAAACACACCACAACAAGCAGTGGTCCTTTTATATCTTTACAACTGTTCAATGATTCAATATCTTCAAAACATTTGCAGGGTATTACTCTGTGTGTCTGTTGCCACTCTGCTAATGAAATTGCTTAATTTCACATGTTCTAATTAATCTTTTTTTTTTCCTTTTCATTATATTCTTTACAGTATAGCTAGTTATATCCTCTATCCTTCCTTGATTAAGTCTAGGTTTGAATTTTGCTCCTTAGTTTTCTGCCAAGTGTTTTACCCTTCTTTATTTGCTTTCTTTATTTTTCTTTTTGACTCTGAATGCTTCTTAGCACCTTTTGAGTGAAATCTTTCTTTACCTTTTTTGGCTTTTATTGTGTCACTGTTGTTACTTTAACACAATTGCTGCATGTGTGCTGATATGTTACTGATGTTGACTAGTCATGAGACAGCTGAAAAGTCCTGCTTTCCGCTCTTGTACGTGCACAGGAGCATTTGCAGCATCAGCAAATGTGGGAGCATCAGCAGCATCCTGCTGCCATCCATTCTTCACAGCTTGTTCCCTATATTTTCCTAGAAGGGGTGGGATGAGACATGATGAGAGGTTGTTAAAGGCAAAAGTGTAGTACTTGGAAAGCCAGGTTTACGTTTATTCAAAATGTAATAATTATGCTTGGGATGTCTATCCTTTGCCACAAAGGACTCGGTTAATGGAAACTTGGGTTTTCTTAAGAGTGTTTTGAAGTGTGGATAAACCTTGCAGCTCTATTACTTCTTGTGCACTGTTTATCTGAATGTATTTTTAAGCTTAAGTTTTCAAGTTACCTGTTTTGTTTGTTTTATAGCAGAGGAGCGCCTCAAATATGGCAGCTGCAGAGTTAATGACAAGTCAACCAACCTCATCACCTGCACTAGACAAAAATTATGTCAGCCTATTAAATCATTATTCACAAAAGACGGGTCTATTAGTTGATTATCCTAACAAAAATCGTACTGGAGATGACCATGCTCCCACGTAAGATATAATTTACCTTCTTGCTTCCTTCTTATACTTTTTATGTTTACTAATGCTACCATTAGTTATCCTTGGTCAAGTTAGCTGAATCTTTAGAAGGGGTCACATTATCTACCTGAGAGCTTCTGAAGCTCTGTCAGATTTGGTGCCTGTGACTACTTCCTTGGGGAACCTGTTCCAGTGCCCAACCACCCTCTGGGTGAAAAATCTTTTCCTAATATCTGACCTAAACTTATCCTGATTCAGCTTCATGCTTTCTCTTTGAATCCTGTCACTGGTTACCAGAGAGAAATCAGTGTCTGCCCCTCTTCTTCCCCTCATGAGGAAGTTGTAACTGCAGTGAGGTCACCCCTCAGTCTCCTCCAGGCTGAACAGACCAAGTGACCTCAGCTGCTCCTCATACGACTTCTCCTCAAGGCCCTTCACCATCTTTGTTGCTGTGCTTTAAACGCACCCCAATATCTTAATGTCATTTTTATATTATGGCACCCAAAACTGCATAAAGGACTTGAGGTGAGGCCACCCCAGAGCAGAGTGGGACAATCCCCTCCTTTGCCTGGCTGGTGATGCTGTGCCTGATGAATCCCAGGACACAGCCCCCATGGCTGCCAGGGCACTGCTGAGTCATGTTCCACTTGCTAGTGACCAGGACACACAGGTGCTATTCCACAGTGCTGCTCTCCAGTCTCCTGTTCCCAAGTCTGTACATACAGCCTTGGTTGTCCTATCCCAGCTGCAGACTTCAGCACTTGTTAAATTTCACATGGATAGCGATGGCCCATCTCTTAATTTTAGTATGTTGGTTTCTCTGTAGGGCTTCCCTGCCCCTGAGGGAGTCAACAGCTCCTCCCAGTTTAGAAATGTCAGCAAAATTACTTGATGTCCTTAGAGTCCTGTGTATAAGTTGTTAAGATGTTGAAGAGCACAGGGTTGAGAATGGAGCTCAGTGGAGCCCCCCTAGTGCCAGGTCCCCGGTCTGATGTCACCCCATTCACCATAACCCTTTGTGCCTGACCTGTGAGCCAGTTGCTCATCCATCGTGTAAGCATGGTTATCCAACTGTGTGCTGGGTATTTTGTCCAGAAGGATGCTGAGAGATGGTATCAAAAGCTTTGCTGAGGTCTAAAAAGATGATATCATCTTGCTTTCCTAGATCAGCTGGGTGGGGTACCCTCTCATAGAAGGAAATCAGGACCTTCTCTTCAGGAAGCTCTGTTGGCTGTGATGAATGACTGTGCTGTCCTCCATGTGTTAATCAATATCTCCCAGAATAATCTTATCCATGATTGTTTCAGGCTCACTCTGAAAGTGAGTAATATTTAAGGCACAACAAATTAGTTACCTACCATTATTAAAGTGTATATTGAAAACACTGTCCTGAAGATACATACTTCAGGTTTCCATTCTATAAAGTCACTTGATTGTAGTGTTTAAAAACCATTAAATTAAGACTTGTCATATGGCATATGAGACTCAATTCCCTGTTGCATTCTACAGGTATACTGTTAGCTGTACAATTAGTGGTCATGTGTATGGAAGAGGCACTGGACCTTCCCGAGCTGCTGCAAAGGAAGCTGCTGCAAAGGAAGCATATGAGAAGGTAAAAAAAGAAAGATCTCTGAGAGTATGTGCTATATTTAGCCTTATCACAGAAGTTCAAATATTTGAACCAATTTCTTCATTGTATTTAAAAGCAAATTCCATGTATTCCATTAAAGAGGGGAATGATCCATATTTTAGTATACTGGTTGGGCTACTATTGGTAGAATTTATGTTGTGCTTCTATATTCAGTTCTGGATTAAAAAAATAAATGATAACAGTTGATATCTCTCTGTGTTTCAGAATAGGTCTGATGTTGTCATTCAAGAATGCGCACATTTTAAAAATTTTTCAATTCCAGCTCTTATATCGGTTGTCTTCTGTGTGCAGTGTTGTTGAGCTGGCAGGCTATGAATATAGTTCTTTTACTGTCTTCTGTTGGATCAAAAATCTGTTGTGTAATGTGAGAGGCAAAAGCAGGAGTCAGAATCAGCAGGACTTGCCTTCTATAGTGTTCCACGGCAAAGTCCCATGAAACAATTGCTGACACCATCCTCTGGAGAGCAGAGCTGTTGTCTTCATGCTGGCAACTGATATTTCCACATGTGCAAAAATCTATCAGACTCCCAACAGTGATCCAAACCCACTTCTAAAATGTACAGAATATATGAACTAACAAAATAGAGTGTAGTTTAAAGGAAAGGATGGCAGTATAGGGGAGGGAAGAAGCCTTTATTACTTTTAAGTACTTTTAAAATTATTTGCCTATTACTGTGAATTTTCAGTGCTTTTAAAATGATTTTTAAGTCCACCATGTCATTAATAATGTCGTATTACAGCTCTAGGAGCCTTTCTTAATATTTTCCTTTGTTGCAAACCTGAGGGTATTTTAATTTTCATCAAAGTCTGAAATTTATTATATCAAGCAAAACTTGTATACTAGTTAGTCTAAATTTGGGGTGGGTTATTTTAGTTTGGTTTTAAATTTATTAATTCTCAGTATATCTGTGTAACAAACAAAATGTAATCTGACAAAAAGTAATAATGGTCCAGTACTCCTGTATTTAAAAAAAGGGGTTTATTCATTGGCTCTCATTGAAACATAAACCCTGTGTTTTTGTGTCCATGATACTCTGATGGAATACCAGGAAACATAAAAAAAAAAAAAGAAAAGTTTTGTTTACTTTTTGTGAGGTGATGGTCTATATCCGTTGTAGTTGTTGCTTTTAATGTTACTTTTATGCTCTTATGACATAGGTAGTGGGAGGAAGGGGTAGAACCTCTACTAAGTATTTGGGATAAGTGGCTTTTTTATTCAGCTCTGCAGTGTTTTCATGCTGAAGACATTGAATGTCAATTTATACTGACTCATATTTTCAGTTCTGCTGATTACATGTACCAAAGCCTACATATATCTAATTTTCCAAACAGCAGTTGCACATGCAGCAAACAGTGAAGATACTTGCTTTTCGTAACTCTTATCCTGGTTTTGAGTAGAATCCAGACTCCACTTTTGTAAATGAATCTGTATAGTACACTCACTGTTACAGGGCCCTGTGTTTTTCCTTTCTCTGGGTGGAAATTGGGCAGATGCCTTTCTTCTGCAGGGCTTTGAATGTTTAATGCAGTTACCAACTTGCTCTGCCCTCTCTGGATGGCATTTTTTGCACTAGGAATTTGTTTATGTGATTTTGTTAAACAATTATTGGCTTTTCTTTTTCTTTCCAGATCAAAATCGAAACATCTAATGGCAGTTGTACATTTAGCAAATACAGCAATTCCTCTCAAGTGCCAGCTGAGTCTGACTCAGAGTAAGTTGCGTTAATGTGGTAACAACATATTTAGTAGCATTAGATGGTAATGTGCTCTAATTCTAAATACAAGATACCATTTTATTGTTTTAAAGCCATCTAATTTTAACTTCTGTTCCTTAAACTTCAGAGCAAAGTTTGTTCTACTTGTGCAGTTTTATGTGAGTCTGTATGGGATAGCTTATAGTAAGTTTAGAGCTTTCTGATTTATTCAATTTTGGCATAGGTAGTTCTTTCAGAGGCATTTTTACTGTGATGTAAATGGATTACCCTACCTCATTCAATAGCATTATTTCATGCCATTTTAACACTCATTTTCCCCTTGTGACACTCTTGTGAACTCAGTATAATTGAATTTCAGTACTGTGCTCCATATTCTGCTTTCTTCTCTCCCTTTTTTCTTCCCTCTTCTTTCATGCTACATGAATCTTCCTTTCCACCAAAGAGAAAAATCTGCTTAGCGAAAGAAACTGAGCATACATTGTTTGATATGTGATTTGAGAACCAGCAGTTTAACTGTAGTGCCACTACCACTTTTACATTCTTCTATCTTCTAGGTATCATAGACTCATTTAATAATAGAAATAAAGGAGAATATTACGAAGTGTTGTTATTTTAATAGCTTTCAAGCGGGACTTTTTTTAGTTTAAATTAGTCATGATTGTTAATGCCTTTTCAAGTTTTGCTTTAAAAACTGTGGGTTTTTTGGTACTTCTTCTTTTCTTGTGACAATAATTTTATTTATTATTGTGTTACGTTCACCTAAAACTAGCCCATTACTTTTTAGTACAAACAGCATTTGCTTTGTGGACTCATCTGCAAAGTTGGTAGAAAAAATGAAAGACATGGCAATATGTGAAAAGCCTTCACCTTTTCAGGTATAGTATGAAAATGGTCTTCCTCATAATTCTATTTTAGACCCTGAATAGGGCATGCTTCTTGTCAGAATGTAATATCAGTTTGTTCTTTTATCCACTAATCATTGGAAAATACATGCATTTTTCCTAAGAATATTCAGTAATGTTAACCATTAGTCATTTTCCTTCTGTATTGTGGGTCAAATTTATGTAGTGTTTAACAAATGCCAGTACTCTCAAGAAAAGGGTCAAACTAAGCTCATTTTTTGTAATGATAATGTTATGCATTTTTTTGCAATGATAATGTTATGCATATCAAATGTGAAAAACTCTGAGCTAAGATTCATTCTTATGACACTGTTTACATAAGGTATGATCATATTTATAGTCAATTCCTAGATACATTGTCAGACATGTTTTAAACCAACTACAGTGAAAATATTCAGGATACCTCAGGCTTTTTTTTTTTCTTTTTTTTTTTTTTTTTTTTTTTTCCTTTTAGAGAAATGCACAAAGTTATGTCCTGAAGTCTGGAAGGTATGTGTTTATTTCTAGATTGCTATCTTCTCTAAACTATTGCAAATAACTTTATTTTCTTCTATCTCTAGTAAAGAAGTGCTGCTATTGAGAGGTATATTTCTTTTCTCATCTTGTGTTAGCAAAACGGCTCATTATAAATTTTGCTTTTATCCTTGTTAAAGAAAATTGGCAGCTAATTTTGCTAATATAAGAAACAAGGAAGAGGAAAAAAATATGCCAGACTCAAATGCAAATTTGCCAGATGTGAACACAAATACCGGAGAAGAGAATGGGAGTCCACACACTGTCAATAAAACGTAAGAAGGATTTTTTAAAATTAATATTTGTAAGGCAATAACAGTATGCGTGAATCTAGATGTGTTTATTTGTGGTAGAAGGAGGGAAAATACTGCTCTGAAAAGAACTTCCAAAGAAAGTTGACATTAGATTTTTTTTTTTGTTGAAATTTCAAATCTAGCATGGAAATTGACAAGCGATGGTATTTAAAGCTTAAAACCAAATGCTATTCATGTGAAGATGTGAGGGTAGTTACCTGACATGCCTGGAGGGTCAGTTTTCCCTGTTGGTTTAATTTCCAAGGCTGTAATTTAGACCTGTAGATTGGTCAAATGATGACTATAGAATGATATTGCAGTAGATGTATTAAACCTGTCAAGATTATTTCTATATCCTTAATAGAAAATTAAGTTATAATTGTGTGGTTTTCTTTTTTTATTTTTTTTTAAAGATTTCTCGAACTTTTTGAAAAAATAGAGCCTATTGGTGCAGGTGGTTTTGGGAATGTTTTCAAGGCAATATCGACGTGTGATAAGACAACCTATGCAATCAAACGAGTTGAATTCACAGAGTATGTACTGTATATTTACTTCTGTGTTTTAGGACAACCTTAATCAAGATTTTAGTACTTTATTTTCTCTCTTCAGCAATACTAGAAACATTTAGGTGATTTTCATTATTAATTATCTGTCTTTTCTAGTAAATTGTTTTATTTATTTCCAAATGAAGCTGAAAGTGGTCCTAAACCTTTGTTAATTTTTTCATGTAATGGGTTAATTTCTGCTGGAGCTGTAAAAATGTAGGTCAGTTCTCTTTTTCCTGAACACAGTAGTGCTCTGGTTGCTAATACTGCAAAATGTGTCTGAAGAAAACCTGATGATTATTAAAACATTGAAAGCAGCCCTGTTACTTTTGACAGGCTACGCAGAAAATTTCCATGACTATAATTATAGAAAATAGAAAAAAATCCATGTAATAAATTTTGTGGTTTGTAATTGGAAAATGCTTTATTATCTGACCCATGTAGTCATTACTCTCATGCTGTGTTACTTGTCTTTCATAAATCTCAGAGAAAGATGATCGTAATTTCTTTTTGAAGTAATTTTCTGTTACCTAGTGGAGTATTTTATTAGCAGTTGAAAAAATTAATTTTTTAGGTTATATACTGAAAATGTTTTAAATTGTTGGAGATGCTTGTCCCTTAAATTGTAATGTGTACATTTCCCTTTGGATTCTTGTGTTCTGTGCAAATACATATCATTTTCATTAGTATTGCTATCCTAAGAACTATACTGAAAACCTTCTACTGATTCTTCAAGTAATAACTAGTGCTCTGCTGGTGGGTGAAAAAGCTACCTGCTTTTTTTAGCTTTTTTTGAGTGGGGATTTAATTCCTGATGGGGTTAAAACACTTTTTGCACTTTGAATAACTCAGCAGATGAAACAAAACCCATCAGAATTGTAACTTCAGTTTTGACCTTTGAACTTACATGAAGGAGAATATTATGCTTTGTTTCTAAATTAATGTAAAACTATCTGTATCCTTCCACTTGATAGCATATCTTTTATTTAACTTTGTATTACCTTGTAATAGGGAAATACCTTTTTTTTTTAAATTCTGTCCCCCCTCCTGATAGGAAAGTAGAGCGTGAAGCACAAGGACTGGCAAGACTTACACATGAGAACATAGTGCGCTATCATTGCAGCTGGAAAGGGGAAGACCATATGAAGTACTCAGACTCAAGGTAACTACAAAATAATAGTTTGCATTCATAATCATTTTTTCACGTAGTGAATTTCATGCTATTGGTCATTGGTTGTCAGTTATTTTACAAATACAAATGCACATATGTGTAATCGTACTGCTGAGAGAAAAGGTGCAGTACTTTCCAGCAGCAGGTTGTATGTTAAGTATATTTATATCTTCTTTTCCTTGATTAATAGATACATTATATAATTTTATATTTCACTTCTCTGTCAATATATGGAATTAAATGAATTTATAGAGGAGAGTAAGATTGCAGAACTCAAAATTTGGGACAAGAATTAACAACAGAAAAAATTGTCTGACAGTTGGCTACCAAATTCCTGATCAGAAGTTTCCTTTTTATAATAAATACTGGTCAGCCAATAGCTATCATAGATTTAATTATTTCCCTAAGTTAGTATTTTAACCATGATGCCTAAAACAGTTTTGATTGTTTAGAAAAGGAATACAAAATGAAATGCTCTTTAATTTAGCGGTAGCCTTTTGACACTGAGACTTCTAGTAAAACAGTGGTGAGATTTTTATTTGTAAGTTAGACTCTTAACTTTTCCAAGCTTCTGTGGTAAACTTTATTACTAGCTGTAAATTAATACTCTTCAGATAGACTGTCATACTTACTTAGAGCAGTAAAATGTGGGAAAAGAGTCTGTCAAAACTGAACCATTAATATATTGGAACCTCGTTAATATGTTGCAACCTGTTTGACATTGAACAGTTATTGGGCAAAGGAAAAAAAAGTCCTCAAAGCCAAGGTCCCAGACTGAAATTTGTGCCCTGACCTCAAGACTACAGAGTCCTGAGCCATTTAATGCTTATTCTTTCAGTGCTTCAAGCAGCTTTATTCAAGGGCACTTATCAGACAGTGTACATAGGAAAAAACAGTGCATGCTTCTCTCTGTATTTTCCTTCCCCTCACCGTCTCCAGCCTCAGCCTATCTTACGAGCTTCTCTGGAATATGTGAGGCTGCCAGATGGGTGAATATGTTTCATCTAGGTTTCCAGTTCTCAGAAGGGTTTCTGTGACTAGCAGACCAATGTCAGAAATAGTCACTGGATTACCTTCTTGACAGGAGAGAGCTGGAAAGAACATGACCATTCTGGGCAGGATAGGAAGGCTGATGCTCTATATCTTGCATAGACTAGAGAACATGTGTCAGGGTCTTGCACCAGTTCCTACAAGGCTAGACATGCTTCTTGGTATGAGGGACATGGAACTTGGGCTTTCAGAAAACTACCAGTGTGAAACTAGAAAGCAAGCAAAACTTCAGAAATATTACAGTAAAATATATCAACTGAGCAGGGATTCTTTGGGTTGCAGTCCTTATTATTTAAATACAAATTGCTCTAGGATCTTAAAATTAAGGGACTTGCAGACTTTTTTTTGGGTAACTCTAAAAATAAATATTAGCAAAAAGGGCTTTTGAAGATGACTTGGGAGGAATTGTATCATGCCAATTTCAATATGGTATGTAATTTTCTTTTGAAGACAGAACTCAGGCGAAAAAATTCTCTGTCTTTTCATCCAAATGGAATTCTGTGAACAAGGGACATTGGAAAACTGGATTGCAAAAACTAGCAAAGACCGAAAGTATTATGAAATGGCACAAAACAGATTTTTACAAATAGTGAAAGGAGTGGAATATATTCATTCTGAAAAGTTAATTCATCGAGACCTCAAGGTATGTAGGATAGGTAAACAAAGAAAAAAATATCAAAAAGTTGAAGGTAGTATACTTACTGGAATTTCAGAGAATGTTGTTATAGTCTTTGCTTACTCTGTTATGTACCCTAGCAGTGTGCTTCTTTGGACATTGCTAATGATTGATTCTCTTTCAGCAGCTGGCTGAACCTCATCCTAAGATCAGGTGAACTTGGAAGATCTCAGAATACAATAGTTCAAAGAGTCAGTAGGCATCAGCTAACAGGCATTTTCAGTGTGTTACTGGGTTTACAAGTCTGCCTATTGGAAAAAGAAAAGTTGAGTCTAAAAAGTGGCTCTCCCATATTGTAGAGGGATAGGTTATCTATCCTAATACATTCTGTGTTTGATAACAACATGCTCTAGTTACTTTTGTCTTGTGTATGCATACGAATGTTTGCATGGTACAGTTTTGGATAGACTTTGTCTCTAGATGTGCACAGTCATAAGATTTTATTTCAGTATAAAGATTCTAAGGGACAAAGCCTTCACAGCTTCAGGATGGAAGCTGTAATGTTGTTTATAGAGTTTTAAATCACTCACTTAGTGAAAAAAATCATTAGTGTGGTGGCATTCCTAGGATTAACTTCCCTGCCTGACCTCTCTGGAGCCACTCTGGCAGTCAAATTCTCACCACCAGAGACCTCCACAACTGGGACTGAAGTATCTTCACAGCAGGCAGCTCCAGTGAATCCACAAGTGCCTCACTTGATCCCCTACACACCCCAGCCATATTTGATACTTAACATGGGGTTCAAACCCTTGACCCTGAGATTAGGAGTCTCATGCTGTACAAGCTGAGGTAGGAATGAGGCTGTGGTCGATCAGGAGTGGTATTCTTCAATTTAATGCTCCTACTGAATCCACATGCTGCTTGCTCATTTCCCCCTACCCTGTGGCAGGCTGGAGATGAGAATTGGAGACACAAAAGGTAAAGAGCACAGGCTGAGATAACAACAATTTACTAGAAACAGCAGTGAGATAAGAAAACAAACACAGACCAAAACAGTAACAACATTAAAACCAGAAGTCTAAAAACAGAGGGTGATTCACATGCCAAAAGGTCACTGTGGAGCCCTACCTGATCATGCCATGCTCCCATGACCCAGAAGTGATTCTTTCCTGATTCCCAGAAAATGACATGAGGTGGTATAGAATAACCTCCTTGGTCTAGCCATGTATTCCCCATGGATTACTGTACAAATTAACCCTCTCCTGACCAGAACCAAGTTATACTGCTAACTCTTCTACTTGTGTTTGAATTGAGGAGCTTTCCTCTCCTCTTTGATCTGCTGTCAGCTTAGGTGGCTGTCTGAGATCTCCATAGCCCAGAATCAAAGTTGCAGGATAGGTTCAAGCTGAGATTAAAGTAATTTGTGTCTGGTAGGAACAGAGTCATTAAATAGTGTAGCCAGCTATAGGTACTATATTAAATATATGCGATCATGGTCAGACTTGAACAGAACAGCGTTTTTTACATGAAGATTTTTTTCTGTTGACTTTTAAGTATCTCATGGCCTTGTGATCCACTGGAGATTATTTGAGTAAAAGACAGCATGAGGCTCTTTGGTTTTGTTTTAAAAACATTCAGAAGTATAGTTTATCTTCTTTGGGAAACTTCATTGAAGCATATATAGTTCTATTTTTAGTTGTTTGACTTCATGTTCTGGTTTTGGCTAGGATACAGTTAATTTATTTTCAGTAGGTGGTACAGTGTTGTTTTGGCTTCAGTATTATAATAATTCTGATAACACTCTGATGTTTTGGTTGTTACTAGGTAGTGTTTACTTTAAGTCAAAGATTTTTTTTTTTTTTTACATGCAAGAGGGGCTAATCTGGGCTCAGGAAGGGGATCTGGCATCAGTCAGTGGGTGGTGAGCAATTGTACTGTGCAAAACTTGTTTCTTCTTATTTTGTTTTTTTTTTTTTAATCCTTTTATCAATATTATTTAGCATTATTATTAAATTTTTCTTTTGTTTCAATTGTTAAACTATTTTTAATACAGCTTACAAGTTTACTTTTGATTCTTCCTCCCATTCCACTGCATGGTGCTTAGTTGCCAACTGGCTTTAGCCATGACATTGTCAAATTTAAAAAGGGGAACTTTAATGGAAATGTAAACATGATACTCTGAGATACCTGTAGTAAGCCTTAACTCTGCATTTGATTTAGTACGCATGATCCTTCTGTGCCTAGGAGAAACTGACTTGAGTGGAAATTTCATGTAAGACTAAATGCTTTGCCTTAGTGTATCAAGTTCTGGCTAGGATTGAAGAGTGAAAAGCACTTCAACATATAGAATGTTATATGTACAATGTATTTGAAGAGCAATTAAAGCATGACACAGTTATGACTGAGCTAGTGGAAAACGGGTTCTGTTACTGCAGAATGTACTACTTGAAATTTAGTTTGTTTTTAAAAATGATTTAACTTATTACTCTTTCCACACCTCTTAATGCTACTTTCTAGACAATCATCAGTTTTTATGGGAAACACTTCTGTGGCTGATTATGCTTGGTCATTTGGTGATTTTTTTTTCTTCTTTTTATTTATACATACAAAAATAGCCTCAGAATATATTCATATCACATAATAAAATAAAAATAGGTGACTTCGGTCTTGTGACTTCTGTGGCATTTGAGACACTGACTGAGAACAGAGGAACAAAATCGTATATGGCACCAGAACAGGTAATTATCCTGCTGTATTAGTGTCACTGTAATTAGATGTGTGCTATAAACTGAGCATTGGGTGTTCTCAATCCTAATGTCAGTATTAAAGCAGGTTGCCTAAAGTTCCTGGTGTGACTGTATGAGAGGATAACTGTACTCTGGAGAAGGCTTTACAAGTGTGGTAAAGTTTTTTGCTCTGTGTGAACATACAGTCTGACACTGCATGCTGTAAGGAATGCTCTTGTAAAACCAGACTGCCAGATATATATTTGAATTTAGGGCCCCTGCTAATTGCATAATTTGAGTTTCTCTGTTTGTTTCATTATTTGTCACAGGGCAGTATTGGCTTTATCTGTATAGGTCTGTAGAAGTCTTAATTTCAGGGTGTTCAGTGTGACATAATAGTCACTATTTAACAGGTCTGAGACAGAAAGGGTTAACAACTAAGAATAATACTGAATGGGGCCAGTCCTGTAGCCTTGGGGTGGAAGTTTCTGCTGACTTCAAATTTTGCTTTAAGAAGTGCTGTTCTCCAGTTGGATTTGATGCTTATATTGTTCTGTTCTCATCTTTCTAGACTGGGGTCAGATATGGAAAGGAAGTAGATATTTATGCATTGGGATTAATTTGGTTTGAAATTCTTTCGGCAATCACTCATCATGAAAAATCTGAGGTATGTAATCTTTAAATTTAAAATTTAAAAACTTTAAATTTAAAAACTCCCACTGTTGTTATTTTGCCTGCTGGTATCACATATTGATAATGTTCTAGAAAGAATCTCTTTGAGTACTATCTCTATTTACATTTTTTTCCTTAATTAATTTCCATAAAGCCTGTAAGTCCTCACACCTCAGCTGAAATTTTGTAACTGAGGGAAAGAAATACTACAGTTTATTTCACTCTGTCCTACTACACACACTAAAGCCCGAACATGTTAAAGAATAATGTCAAGCAAAAAAGGATGTCAAGTTTCTTACAAGTATTTTTCTTTGATCAGAAACTTAAAGGGAGTATTTTTCTAATTTTGGAAAATAAAAATTATGGATGGGTGAGTGCCATGCTCTTGTCTTCACTGCACAGTGGAGCAAAAAGAGTTTCCACTAAATCAAAACCCTTGCAGTTTTCCAAGATGAAAACAAAAGTGATTTGGAACACATTGCTTTAAGTGAAAGAGATATTATTTCAGAATGAAACCCCATGTTACTTAAGCTTTTTAAAAAAAGGTTTTCCTGTGTGCATTTTGAGCTTTTTATGTGCAAACCTACATTTTGGTAGGACAGCGAGGTAGCTGCTGGGTATTTTGTCTGAAGTAATTGTAGTTGCACTCAGATTTTGAACACTGTTAATCAGATCCTTTTGCCAGTGAAAAGATCATACCAGTGTGTCTGTTCAACTTGGCTCTCTCCAGCCACCTTGCAGTACTCCTCAGACCACCTGTTCCTGTTCACAGTTGACTGCAATTGCATGCACAGTTCCATGGTGTATACAGTTGGAAAAGCATGATTTCCTTAAACTATAATTTTGTGCTCTGCAGGCAGGTGGGGAAGTTATGTGGATGGAAAGTCCTAGGATGGTCTTCAGCTGCTCCATTAAATTAGAAAGAATTAGACTTAATGGAAGATGATAAACTCTAGTGCTGGCAAGCCCTGCTGTAAGAACATAGTGTAAAAGCAAAGTTGATTATTCTGTGCTGAATAACTGGTTCAGTTGATGATCCTCAGCAGGTAGGGCTACTGCTAAAGAGTAGGGGAAAAGCTTAAGTTTTTGGGAGCTGTTGTTTTACTGGATAGTGGTTGTAAAGGGCTGGCTATGCCAGGCTTATAGGAATAGCTGATGATTCAGGATACACAGCTAAGTCCAAGAACATGACTGTCATCTTTAGGCAGACATTACACTAGTTAGCAGCTAATGAATTAAGCAGATTGATCTGTTTACCCAGAAAGCCACTTGCAGAATCACAGAATGATCACATGAATGGGTGAAGTTGGAAGGAGCTTCTGGGGGTCATCTAGTCCAACCTACCTCCTCAAGCAGGGTTCCCTAGAGCATGCTACTTGGATTTGTGTCCAGTATATGTCCAATCAGGGAGATTCCCTGACCTCTCTGGTCAATCTGTTGCAGTGCTCAGTCACCCACACAGTAAAGAAATTCTTCTTCATGTTCAGGTGGAACTTCCTGTGCATGAGTTTCTGCCCATTGACAGTGTGGACACCACCTAGCAGAGCCTGGCTCCATCCTCCTGGCACCTCCCTTCAGATACTCACAGACATCCATGAGTTCCCCTCTCAGTGCCTCTTCCCGAGGCTGAACAGGCCCAGCTCCCTCAGCCTTTCCTCATCAGAGAGATGCTTCAGTGCCTCAATCATCTTTGTTACCCTCCACTGGAGCCACTCCAGGGGCTCCATGTCTCTCTTGTCCTGAGGAGCCCAGGACTGGACTCAGCACTCCAGATGTGCCTCACCAGGGCTGGGCAGAGGGGCAGGATCACCTCCCTTGAGCTGCTGGCAGTGCCCTTCCTAATGCACCCAGGATTCCATTGGCCTTCTTGGCCACAAGGACACACTGCTGGCTCATGGATCGCTTGTTGCTTAGCAGGACCCCCAGGTCCTCCTCCACAGAGCTGTTTTCCAGCAGGTCAGCCCCCAGTCTGTGCTGGTGCCCAGGGTTATTTCTCCCCAGGTGTAGGACCCTGGATTTCCTTTTGTGGAATTTCAGAAGGTTCCTTCCTGCCCATCTTTCCAGCCTGTCCAGGTCCTTCTCAAGGGCTGTGGAGCACTCTGGGGTATCGGCCACTCATCCCAACTTTGTGTTATCAGTGAACCTGCTGAGGAGGCATCTGCCCCTTCATCCAGGTCATTGAAGAACAAATTAAACAATATTGGGCTCAGTATTGAAACTAGGAGGAACAGCACTGGTGACAGGCCTCCAACTAGACCCTGTGCTGCTGATTGTGACTCTCTAGGACCTGCTGTTCAGCCAGTTCTCAGTCCACCACACCAGCCATTTGTCCAGCCTGCTCTTCCTGAGCTTGCCTATCAGGATGTTGTGAGAGACAGGGTCAGAAAAAAAATTGTTAATCAAAAGCTATTTCTAAAGCATGTAATGACAAATATTCTGTTAGTTGCTCCACGTAGCATTTTATGCAATGACATAGAAATATGTGTGTGGTACTGAATATAATTAAAAAGAGGAAGCACACCTAGTTGGCTTGCGAACAGAAACTCTGTTGTCTTGCTTTTTTCTTTTCTTATAATGTCATTATATTATATAAATCCATTACTTCTAAATTAAGGAAAGAAAGATAATGGTTCTGAAACAGGGGATGATTGAAACAAACATGTCATTCTTGTGTGTGAAGTTTTTAAGCTTAGAATTGGATAACAGTTGATGAAAAGGCCATAAAACTAAACCAAAGCACAACTAAATGGAAAAAGCCCCAACTTTCAAACTGTTTGCAGTTACTGTTTGAAGCCTTACATTTCCTGCAGATTTGTGTTTTCCTAACTACTTCAGTAAACTATATGGGTCATAAAGTGGAGATACAAAACATAAGAAATTAAAGCATACCAAAACTATTCTCTTTTATTAATTTCAGGTATGGCCTTCTGTGAGAAAAGGTGACCTTCCAGAGTGCTTCAACAACCACTTTTCAACAGAGGTATGAGATTTTAATATACTTTTTGGGTACTGTATTAACTTAAAAAAAAAAAAAATCTATTGACATTTAATTTTTTTTTGCAGGCATCCATAATCAAAAAGATGCTTTCAACAGACCCTTCAGCAAGAATCACTATATCTCATTTACTTGACCTTCTTAAGTCTGTTGATAAAGAGAAGGCACTTAGAAATTATTCTTATTAAATGTCCTTTCGCACTGTGTTTAAATCCAGAGTTTGATGAATTTATTACAGTCGATGAAATGACAGCAGATGTTAGAAACAAGATTTGGGGTGTGTCTTTTCCTTGGCCACATCAGCATTCACGTCTGCCGGCTGCACCTAGGACAGGGCACTTCTGCAAGAAATCACATGCAATTTTTACCTGGAAACATAGGTTATGGATGAGCTGGACTGCTTTGTACAATAAGAACCTGGTCCTTTTCCCTTCAAAGATCATGCTGATGTGCTGAAGTCCTGACTGGGTTGTGGCAAATCCCTGCATGTGTTGCATCCATTATCCCTTACTATCTATTGCTTTCCATGGAAGAACTGTTGTCTGGTGGTATGTAACTCAAACCTTTCTGATTCGTTCAGTGATATTGTTAATAATTACTGCAATGCTCCTATTAGTACCAAGACTAGTTCTGGCAGAAAAGATACTAGGAATAGGTGCACATTATTCTTCACTTTAAGTACTTTAAAGTACTTTAAGTACTTTGTTTTCTTATCTCTTCACAGCTGCTGCTGACCTAGCAGCTTCAGTGCTCTAGAATTTAAACTTGTAAAATGAGGATTTCTTAAGAATTTAAATGTTAAACTTAGCTTCTAGGAAATCAAATTTAGAACAAATCTCAATTTTTGACAACTTTAGGTTTTTATAGTTGTCTTTTTTGGAAAGGAACATTCAAGGTGCTATTAATACAGAAAAATTTTCCAATTGCCTTAGTAGTAACCATTTGAAATTCTAGGCTGAGAGAGCACTTTAAACATTCCCATGCTTCTAGGATTTAGTCTCTTATTGTAATACCGAGGCATGCCTAACCTTTAATAACTGTACTTAGAGCCTCTGATGTGCCCACTGCTAGCCCCACAAAAGGGAACAGCAGGTTCTCTGCTGCTTTTCAGTTGTATCCTTCAGAGTTCAGTCTTGCCTGAACATGAAATACTCTGTGTGGTGTGGGGGAACAGGGTGAAAAGACACGCACATTGGACCTTCAGGGGCTTGTCTTTGAGCTCTATCTTGTCAAACTGTTCATTGATGTGGGGTCAACATAACTCCAGAAGAGCAAATGAGCAGAGATTTCTAAGCAAAAAAACCAGGTAATATGTGAAGTACTGTATGCTTTCTCTGATATGTTAAATGGGTTAAAAGTGGGTGACTGCTCTAAAAGAATGAATACAAATGAAGATATTTATATTCTTAGGAAAATTGCTCATGTTCTGGTGCAAGTATTTGTTGCTAAATAAGAATGTGATTGTATGTACTTTTGTAAGGCCTTACACTGCTTTCTTTTTTTCTCTTTATCATGAATGACATACATAGAATCATAGAATGGTTTGGGTTGGAAGGGACCTTAAAGATCATCAAGTTTCAATCCCCCTGCCCTGTGCCAGGGATACTTTTCAGTAGATCACATTGCTCAAGATCTTGTTCAACCTGGCTTTGAACACTGCCAGTGGTGGGGTACAGCTTCTCTAGGAAACCTGTTCAGTGCTTCATCACCTTCACAATAAAGAATTCTTCCTAATATCTTATCTCAACCTTTCACTTCAAAGCCATTCCCCTTGTCCTGTCACTACATGCCCTTGGAAAAAGTCCCCTTCCAGTTCTCTTGGCAGCCCCCTTTAGGTACTGAAAGGCTGCTCTAAGGTCTCCATGGAGCCTTCTCTTTTCCAGAATGAACAACTCCAACTCAAGCAACTTCACTTGCCAGTTCTCTGGAGACCAGTGGATGCATGTCAACAGGTCCCATGGATTTGTGCACTTCTAGGTTCTCTAGATTTTCTTGAATCTGATCTTCTCCTTGATATCCCTAGCCAGGTTGAATTCCATCAGGGTTTTATGTTCTTCTAACCTTATCCTTGACTGGAATTCATAAAGTATTTCACTATGCTAGATTAATGAGTATTTCTTTGCAGCAGTCAAGATCTGTGAGAAATTATATATCCTTGCAGACAAAATACTACTATTTCTGCTTTATCTTTAATCTATTGGGATAAAATTAACATACAGTTGGGACTTGATGATCTTAAGAGGTCTGTTCCAACCTAAATGATTCTATGAAACTATTCATAATATGAAAATGGACATGTGACAATCTCTTGGCTGCATTTCCTTTACAGTTTTTGGACAGAGAGAATTAGTATCATTACCTTATTGCTCTTAAGTAATACTGAGTTTGTACAAGTAGTTTGTGATACATTTTCTCTGCATAGTATTTCTATACTTCAGCATCAACTTTTTATATATGGCTAGTTATAGTAGCAACTACTGTTAACTAAAAACAAAAGGTCTATTAAAATGTATCTTTATGTAAAAAATGAAAACCCACCATCATGATCTAATTATATTTAATTGTGGAAAATATGCACCTTTATATACAACAGAATATCGGTTCAAGTAATGTCACTGTCATGTTTCACAAGCTTTTTTTTTACCCACCAAATTTAAGATAGTAAGCAAGACCAGTCTAGTATTTAGACATCTCTGTAAAGATGAAAAAACCCAGTTTTACACATTATGCAATAAAGTGATTGGCCAATATTTATGCCTTTACTCATACTTGAATTTTATTACCATTTGGGCAGCAGGTAAAGATGTGAAAGACTCAACTAACCTCTCAATTATGTTAGTTCAATTACAAAGACCAAGTTTTAATTCCTATTAAATTGTGCATTGAACAGAAAATATGAATTTAGCTTGTCAACTTAAACTCTTCTTCTGCATACTTTGGTATGAATTCTTGAGTATGGCATAGCTCCAATCCTTTTAAAAGATACTATGAATTATACATACTTATCTAGGGCTTCTTCATTTAGACTGGCTTTAGTCGTGATCTGAAGCACTGTCTCCAGGACAGTTTGAAGATAAATCTTCAGAGTCTACAGGAAAAGCGGAAAAAAAGTGAGTAGATGCAGCTCAGCGAAGGAAAAAATGGTTGCTGGAAATATTTCTAGAATCCATGTAGAACAGATTAAATAGAATTCAAGGTTTACAAGTTAGTGACTTGCAAATTTGTTTTAAAACAGCAAACACAAATTCTGCTTTCTTTGGTGTTGTGGAACTGGATGGTGTTGTAATTGTTTCAGAAACACCTACCAGCTTTTGCAGATTTTTATGGTATTGGTTTTAATATCTGAATTGTGTTTTCTCAAAATTAATTAAATTTTAATATAAATTCAAAGAAATTTCAGTATCGTTTGTTGTGTTTTGTGGGTTTTTTTTTTTGTTTATTTGCTTTTGGTTTTTCTGCATGTAAACCTAAAAACTGGCTAACAATCACAATAACAATATGTACAAAGCGAAAACCAGCAGCCTAGAAAGTAAATTAGCTATGTAGATTTGGAAGCTGCAGTAATAGAAAAACCAAGGATATATTCTACAGCTGGAGTCTAGCTGCACAAGCAAAGTAAAGCACCTACAAAATGGTTCACTCTTACCTTCATAGGTTGTTCCACACCAAATGCAATAGAAGTGCTCCTCTCTCAAATAGGCTGTCAGGATATGTAGCTTTTCTGATACCTAGAGATATGTACAGGTATGTAATGACTTGGGCCTCACATGACATAAACCACATTGAGCTACTGGTTTGCTAAAATTAAGTGTTTAACCTAATGCTATGGAAAAGCTACACAACACTGTGGTTCCACAAGACGAAAAGTTTCCCACATTTGTAGAAGAGTGCACAGGAATTCATGATCTCTGGAAAGTTGTTTGCTTATCCTTCTTTCCAGCTAAGAAATCTGCACTGAAGAGAGCTAAAAATACTACTTAGCTACCTGATTTCATGTGTATGGTATTTTCTGTGTTTTTTTTCCCACCTAATATCTGCCAATAAAACACATAAGGCTAACAACAGCAATGTAATCTAGTTCTTAAAAATATGTATTTCCAGTGTCTATCTTGAGATAATCTGTGAAAGCAAAATTAAAACTCAAAAGCAAGTAACTGATCTCGTGTATCTTGGCTAAGGAACAAAAATGTTTAAAATTTAATTTCTAGGCTAATTTTTTCAGAGATCAGCCTCAAAACAGATGAGCAATAAATCAGTGGTTTAATATTTAATATTTTATCTTGTAATGGCTATAAAAGACACTGCTCTAGGATTGCAAAGAGGCCCTTTACTACAGTGTGGGAAACGTGTATATATATATATATATATATATATCCTTTATACATGTATGTATATATATATATACAGTTTCAAGGAATATTACATTTAATTTTGAATTGAGCAATTAATTCAGTTGAAGAGCTTACACTTACACTTAAGTCTGTGCTTGTGCATTCATCTTCCTTGTCTTCCTCATCAGGTTCTATCCAAAACCAAGTCTCCTTAGGAATATCAATATCCTTAAATAACAAGGGATTTAAATGGAAGTTATCTGTCCTTTTTAAGTTTTCTTGTAAGATGCTGGATAAAACTAATTTCTAGGATGTGAGCTTTTAGCCTTTAGAACTTGCATGTATAGTATAACCAAGAATTACTAAAGCTGTAGTTAAGTACAGCAGTCAACTTCTATCACTTTTTTTAAACAACGGAATGCATGCCAATGCTAACACCTATTTTTATTTCATCTATATTTGGTATGTGCAAGGCTACACAGCAACATAATCTCACACCAAGCCTGTGAGCAGATACCGTTTTTTATCAGTAAGACATGCCCCAAGTTATTTTATTAATAGATGACACAGTGCTTCCTAATTCACCTCAGGTGAAAATAAAGGAAGAAAAGTAAACAAGGATGATGTAAGCTTAATTCAGCTGACTTGATTTGAAGCAAACTAAGTAATATTGAACAATCTCAGCAGAAGTTTTCCAGTGGCAAAAATTCATAGTAGCTCACTGCTATTACCCATTACCCTTGCAAATAGAAGGCACTTAGTTTTGTGGGTTTTTTTTTTTTTTTTTTTTTTTTTTTTTTTTTTTTTTGTTTTTTTTTTTTTTTTTTTTTTTTTTTTTTCTTTTTTTTTTTTTTTTTTTTTTTTTTGTGTTTCTCAATGCTGCTTTGGTGAATCTGCTGATTCCCTCAATGATGATCCCCATTTTTGGACTAAAGATCTGCCTGGTCCTGGAGAACCTACTTTTAAGTGACTCTGCTTGAGGACAAAGACCAAACACAATGGCTTTCAGAGTCCATTGCCAATGTGAATCACTGTGTGATGATGTTGCTCCCTCACTTGAAGCAAACAGCACCATTATATAGGATGGCCTGATACTGGCTACTGGAAGATATGCAAACAGCTCAGCAGTAACCACAAGAATGCAGAAGCAAAACCACATGTCCTCACGTAAGTTACCATGAGGTTGTTGTGCACCTTCAACTACACTAATGGTACAAACACAGACTTGGAAATATTTTAAGAGAACTGAAATGTTGCCAAACATCAAGACTTAAGCTAGTTACCCTAAAATTTTAGAGAACTTCCAAGAACTGAACCATTACATTGCAGCCTGTATCTCTAACCTCTTAAGTCTTCTTTCTAACCCTCCAGAAAATCCCCCAGGTCTCACTTTTTGCACATCTAATTGCTGGCAGGCCCTCTGGCTTTTTCGCAGGTCTCCTTCCATCTTACGTTCTTCTTGTTTGGTTTTGAATCTTACTCTGTTAAGAACAAGCAGAGGTAAATAAGCAGGCAGACACACAGTGACAGATGCATTACAGTGCGCAGCTTTACAGAACTGGAAAATCTAAGATTCTATTCCTACTAATTTTCTCAGACTTGAACAACATTGAAGTTAAGAAGTCATTCTGACATTATTTCTGTGGGAGCACACTTGTATTGGGAATTATACCTTCAAGATACTTTTTTTGACCACAATACACTTTCTTCATTAGGTTTTCCCTGACATAAAAAAATGGTTCACTAAACATCTGCAAAAGCTACAGCCTTTCCTCAGCTTCTCTTCTCCATATATTACAAGCAAATCAGAAGAAAACCAAAACAATACAATCTTTAAATGTACCCTGACTTTTAAAATCATTGTACCAATAGTGTTTAGAAATATCTGTGGATTTTATATTTCAAAATATGTTTCTTTAATTAAAAAAGCCACATATGACTTGAGAAAAGGTAGTATGTGTAGTTTGCATTATCAACAATTAGAAAACTAAATGGTGCCACATGCTTTTAGCATTAGTGTTCATCTACTTTTGCTTTAGAACTGAGAAAAAATTACTCTGTATGGTAACTCTCACCCTTCATTCAAAACATTATACTAGCACATTAAAAGAATAACCAAACATCAAGCATAAAAAGAATTGCTACTTAGACATTCCTTGGAATATCAGTTGTTTGACTTTACCTGAACTGATCTGCAGCTTGTTCATTTGCTTGTTTTTTCATATGGAGTTTTTGTCTACAGTTTTCCAGTTTTTCTTCAGCTTTTCGCTTTTTTAATTCCTCATGACCAAGCCCACTTCTACCTATGTAAGTTCAAAACATAAATGTAAGCAGTTGAGAAAGCTCTGATACCCAACAAAATAAATCAGAAAGCACTACAAACCTGTTTTTATGTTCAGAGGAATAGGTTCAACAATGCCTTCTCCTGTGAGAGAAAAAAAAAAGTCAATTTAGAAACCTGAGTTTCTCTCACACAATGATTTGTGCAGTGTATTCAAGCAGGCAAGCTGCTTTTGCCATTATTGTGATTTTTTTGCTTGGAAGCTGAAAACTTCCCCATCAGTATACATTTAGTGCACTACAAATGACACAGCTGTACTGGAAACTCTCTCTTCTTTTTTGGTTTGTCTGCTGGAATCCTATGTACTTTTTTGTGAAAAAAAAAAGGTGTTGACATGACAGGTGTAAGATGCCTGTGATGAAGACTGCTTTGTTATTGCCTTCTGGAGCCTTTTCATTCTGCAATATCATAGCAGTGGTGAAGAATAAAAAAAAATTTGTCTGGGCTAGTTCATTGTGATTGTTTGCCAGAGATGCTAAACTGGCACAGCAGTTTCCTTGTTTGATTCCTTGATTTACTGATTTTTCTTCATCTATTAAGGTTTTGTAAGGGTAGGCCAGTGTGCACTGTTTCTTTTTCAAAATCCAACTATAAATTTCAAGAGGATCTGATGTTTTTTTTAACACTATTAGCTTTGCAAAACCATCAGAACATCCTTAATGCAATTCCTGTAGGTATGCATGTATGCAAGTGCACTTACTGAGCTGCAAGTACTGCGCTTCCCTTGCATCCCTCAATACTCTGTACTATTTTTACGTCAGTTTTAGGGATTTGGTGTCATATTTTGTTCTGTCACGGCACCTTCACAGTTCTGTAATGCTATAATGCTCTCCAAGAGGCACTTATTGACCCATCAACAAATGAAGTGAGAGTTGCAGCCTGTAAAATATTAAGGTATAACTGAACACTGACACACACTTCCAGAGAGCGACAAACTTACCACTTTTGCCAAGGGCCTGGCCACTCTTGTAGCCCATCTTCTGGAGCAAAGCAAAGCCTTTGTTCTCACTGCCCAATGCACTTTTCAGTACCAAGTCACGTCTCTCTTTTTCTTCTTCTTTTATGCTTTTTTGTCTGTTCTTCTCATTGGCTTCTTTTTGCTTTTCTTCTTTCTGAATAGCTTCCTTCACCCGCCTCACCATGGGCAAGCCTGGCCTGACATCCTGTCTGTGAGTTAGTAACTCCAGTAAATATTAGCATATTTTTTTAAACAGGTTTATAATCACTTAAGAAGGGTGAAAAAAAAAAAAAAGTAAGAATACCTACTTACTTAATAAATAAATCGGACATATAGTCTTCCTCTTCCTCTCCCTCCATGCTTAGCACGTCTCTGTGCCGACGCCTCGCTTATGGACACGGTCAGTGCGTGTTACCGAGCATTTTATTTCTCTGTGCGTCCCGTACGAGTTGGGGCACTGAGGGGCCGGGGGACGAAAGCACCGGAACCCGCCGGGCCGGGCTGCCCCCGGCCAGCCCCGGGGCACCCGCGCCTGCCCCCAAGCCCACAGCGCGTCTTTCCGGGCTCCGCTACCACCGGCCACGGGCGGCCGCGGCGCCGCTACACGCCCGGGAGCCCCGCAAGGCACAGCCGAGCGCCGGGAGCAGGAGGAGCCTCGGGAGCAGCCCGGGAGCCGCGCACCTACCCGGCCCGACCTGGCCCGGCCGCCCCGCGGCGCCTGCGCGGAGCCGCCCCGCGCGCGGCGCCTGCGCCGCTGCCGCTTCCTGGTGCGGGCCGCGGGGCCGGGCTGCGTCGGGCCGGGGCTGGGGCAGGGCCGCTCGCGTCCCCCTCAGCGCCCCTCCTCTCCCGCCACTCCTGGGCACGGCGGCGGCTGAAGCGGCCGAGCTCGCCGGTGATGGTGCCGCGGCCGGGGGCGAGCGCGGCGCAGCGCGCCCACGCGTGACCGTGACCGTGACCGGCGGGACGCGGCCGCCGCACGCGAGGAGCGTAAGTGACCGTGAACGGCCCGGGCCAGGCCGGCGGCTGCAGCGGGGTGGGGGCAGGGCCAGGGCCGGGGTCCGCGCTACCCCTCGGTGTGTGGGAGTCGGCGTGCGCGCTCGGAAGGCAGCCCGCATCCTTCCCTCGGCATCGTCTCCTCAGCCTCGTTGCCTGAGTATCGATCCCTGACGGCTGGCGCTGCACCGCTGCATTCCTCCTGGGGGGTTTCCAAAGCCAGGCATGATGCTCTGAGAGCTGCTACAGCTTTTTAAAGTAGCCGATACAGGTAGTGGGACCCAGGCGCGAAAGTCTTTTCACCTGATGGAGTCCTTCAGGAGTGTGCGACTTCGCCTAAACTTGTCTGTTTCTCGATTTTCTGACTTCACTGAAGCGCACGCGTGATGAAGATATAAGTAGTCGATTTAGCCATAGGAAAACAGCTAGGGAATAGAAAGGAATTCTAGTACCCCTGAACGTTTTTGTATCTTTGTAATGCTCCAGCTTACCTCACTGGTTGCTGGTTGACTTTGGTCGGTTTTGGCTCTTCATCCCGTGGAGATCACAATGTATTTATTTCTTGTAACATTCACAGCAGGATCCTTGCCAGGATCGGTGGAACGCAGTAGGCCTTTTGGAGCAAACCTTTGGCCAGTGTCAGTGAGTGTTGGATTGTGTACATAAGTAGCTTTGTGTTAGACCGACTCTTCAGTTAGCTGAATATTTGTGTAATTGTTCTTGTGTCTGGTGCCTTGCACTTCACCAGCACAGCTGAGTGTATGTGCAGGATTTTTTGCTTAGAACCTGTGTTTCCTACATTTTAAATGAAGCGTTATGGGAATGTGGGGAGGGTGCATAAGGTGCCCATGGCTCGTATGGCCAGGGGCAAGAGAAACCTTTTATGTGGGGAGGAAAAGGAATAACGAGCTGTGCTGTCCAGGAGTGCTTATGGTATTTATGTGCTGTGTGGGTGTGACAAGCAGTGCAGATCTCTGGGATGATATCCGAAGAATCACAGTGCCATCATTCATTGCGCCTCTCTCTGCTCACCTCTAAAGGTGTTTTGATGTGACGTGTCTGAGTTACTGACAGGCCATGTCTTCTCAGTCCTTTATAAGCATAAAGAAAAAAACCAAAGAAACACCTGATGGAAAGTGTCTTTGGAGGAGTTAGGGAGGGCTGTGTGTGCTTCCATATGTGGCTCTTCCACCTTTACTGGAGCTGTATGCAGTGAAAAATATGCTAAGTTGTAGCTATCATGCTGGCATGGTAGCATGGAGGAAGGTTTTAGAAAGGCCTTGGGAATGGTAAACTGAGGAAAAGGATACATTCATGTATGCCCCATTGTTTTAGAAAGGCTTTGGGAATGAGAAAATGAGGGAAAAGATACATTTATGTGTGCTCCACTGTTTCGGGAAAGTCCCGCTTCAGCATTCCTCTGTAGACCCCCTTCTCCCCACCCCTGAGCAGTTCCCATTGGACCCGGCCCCTGGGGTGGTTCTGATGTGCCTTAGCTGGACAGTATCCCCATTGTTTAGACCTTATCTCTTAATTTTGCTGTATAAAACTGTATCTGGGCAATAGCCCAGGGCCTTTGGTCACTGCAATGCTTCAGGCAATACAATCTATCTGGACAAGCATACCATTGGTCTCTCTGGGTCTCTTTATCTCGAATCCTAGCGGTGACTGAGGCAGCGCCGCAGCTCGGACCGTGCTAACCCAGACGCTGCCTGGTGAGCCCAGGGCAGTGGGACCGCGGAAAACCCCGGCCCCGAGAGGGGACAGCTAGCCGGAGGGTCCCGGGGGGCCAGGGAGGGGCGGGGGACAGCAGCAAGTGACCCCTGAAAGCAACAAGTAGCGGTCAAAGCGAAGCAACACTAAGTGCTGAAGTGCAGGGAACAACCTTAACATTAAAGACATCGTGATGCTTTAGTTTCATCAGGACCAAATCATTAAGGTGGATCTGGAACTATAATACAGCATTAGTATGTCACCTTACTAATGTCTCATTTGGGGAGTGCTTAAAAAAAATCAACTTAAGCCACTTCTTTTGACTTTAAGAATTTGTTGAGTTTGACCATGAATGAGGAAGCAGCTGTGAGCTCTTGAGAGCAAAAGTGGAGCAGTGCAGCTGTCAAAAGATGATGCCTGTTGAAAGCTGATGTCTTGCATAATACTCTGTAGTTATGTTGCGCTCTCTGTTTTGCTTGGGATCCTAGTTTCAGCATCTCTGTATTCAGGTTTTGGGGTTGGTTGCTTTTTTGCTTCTTGGGTTTCTTTTTGCTGAAGATGGTTGATTTAATATTGTGATTTTAGGTAAGTTTTGTGGGTTTTTTCCCTTCTGAGAGCTCTGCATTCAATAGCTACACTTTTCTTCAGGTGGTTTGCTAAGATGAAGTTGGCAGAGTGTTTGTTTACGCTGATAGTATGCTTTTGGTGGTGCTTCGATGCCAGCTCCCACTGATTGAGCAGGATCACCAGTGCTCCATCTGCAGGATTTTGCCTGCTGGGGAGATGTGCAGTAGTTTGGCTGCTGCTTGTCTTCTAGGCTGTCACTCCTAAGGCTTGTTGCATTTCAGGGAGCTTGCTTGACCACCACTTGAAGCAAGACTGGTGCGATCAATGAAATACTAGGTCAGTGATGCCAAATCCTACCCCTGTTCCTGCTTCTCCCAAACTTGTGTTAGCTGGAAATTCCTACTTGTGGTAGGCTCATCTTCTCAGCTTGGCTGTTGAAGGGTGTTGAGAAGGGGGCCAGGTTCATGCCCCAGCTTTGGGCATGTGCTCAAGGGTCTTGACAATCCTTTTTCATGTAAGTGGAGACAGTGAGATGATTCCTTTACCTTCTTTGAACTTTGGTCTATTTTTCTTGGCTGAGAGTTTGTACCCTGAAATTGCCTATAGGTGCTCTTTTTACAGTTAACATCTCCGTTCTCTGAAATACTAATGAATGGACTTAGTGTGTAAATATAATGAGTAGTTTTTATGATGGATGATTTAGCTTAGACAAGTCTAAGCAAGCTGAATATTTTAATTTAATTTTCAAAGCTTTGTACTGAGGTACTGTTCTTCATACTAATATTTACATTTTTATTTTAGAGTTTCTACAGAGATTCACAATAAAATTGTAATTCAACCCATTATGGAGCTGGCTCATAGTTTGTTACTGAACGAGGAAGCATTAGCGCAAATCACTGAAGCAAAGAGACCAGTTTTTATCTTTGAATGGTTGAGATTTTTGGATAAAGTGCTGGTAGCTGCTAACAAGGTAATTTAATGGGTTTTTCTTCCCCCTTATTTCTAAATAAACTTCCTTCTAAAAAGTATTTTTATAAATTTCATGTCAGAGAAAGTTTACAGGTAATGGCCAGATGGTACCTGTATGGTTACAGATACAACCTGAAGAGTCTCTGTGCTAATTTGTAGATTTTAAATGTTTAATTGTAGGCAGTCAGTAAGCAGCTGGTAAGTATTTTTAAAAAGTAAAAATTAAATTGGACAGCAGCTAATTCTGAACATTTAGCATCTGTCTCTGCTGTTGTTGAATGTATCTCATATCTCTCTGAGACAAGCAATTTGCTGAGTTACATACAATTGGGGGTGGTATAAAGTTTACTTCAATTTCTTATAGATTTTCCTGGGTGTTAGAAGCAACACAATGGGTTAAGCTCCTTTTATTTATTTTTGATCTGTTAACAGACAGACGTCAAGGAAAAACAGAAGAAACTTGTAGAACAGCTAACAGGACTCATCAGCAGTTCCCCGGGGCCACCAACACGGAAGCTGCTTGCAAAAAATCTTGCTGCTCTCTACAGCACTGGAGACACATTTACTGTTTTTCAGACACTTGACAAGTGTAATGATATCATCAAGAGCAAAGATGATACTGCAGCCTATCTGCCCACAAAGCTGTATGTTTTGGGGAAAGGGGAATGATTTTTAAGCCAAGTGGTCATGGATATTACAGAAGAATCTGCCTATATATGTTCATGCTATGTTTGTTTATATTTTGTGTGGTTGTTTGGAGTTATATATGCTTGATATAGATAGCAGAGAGAAGCACTGGATTGAGATTGTGGAGGGCAGGATTCAAAGGTAACACATACATGTCTATGTGAAAGTGAAATGGTTTTCTCTAGGCAAGGTGACTCTTCACCTGCTTATGGCATGGAGAGGATAACATATTCATGAAGGTATTCCACCAGTGGAATTACTGCTGATTGTGCTCAGATATCCCATTGAAGGTGGAACCTGCAGATTGTCAAATCAGAGTGTTATCTGTGCCTAGAGAATTGTAACCAAATAGTCAAATTTTTTTTTCCCCATCAGTTGTTGCATTTTCTATTCTCCTAGCATATTAAGCTGCACAGGTCTCTCAAGCAGATTCTCTGCATGTGGCTATGTGGGTGCATGGATGCATGATCCAGCTTGTCTTTAGTCATAGGAGCAGTCCCATTGGTAGGAATTTGGTTAATGTCACAAACAACTTCCACTGAAACCATTTTTGGTACTTTCCCATGTGCTGCTTCATATGTTCGTGGTGTCTAGTGAATCCAAATTTGGTCTTGACTTCAGACATTATGACAACAAAAGGATTTGACAATAAAATCTGGAATAGTCCCTGTTTGGGCAGATACTGTCCTTTTATTTCTAGCTCTTGCAGCTGTGTGAGAATCTTGTGTAAATGGGGAGTGTTTTTACTATAATATGCTATGACATTTACGCTACCAAGT